TGCTTTCTTTTGGTTTCCTCTTGCATGGATTACCTTTTTTCATCTCTTCACTTTGAGCCTATATGTGTCCTTAACACATTTTTGACTGGAGACATATTATAGCCACAAGCATTCGTTTCTGCAAAAATCTCCCAGTCAATAATGTGTTAAAACTGAAGTCAGTCTCTTGTAGGCAGCACATGGTTTGGTCTTGTTGTTTTATCCTTCCAGCCACTCTGTGCCTTTTGATTGGTGAATTCAATCCACTTACATTTAGAGTTATTATTGATATGTAAGGACTTACTAATGCCATCTTATTAATTGTTTTCTGGTTTTTTTGTATTTATATTGTTTCTTTTTCCTGTTGTTTCTGCCTACCTTTGTAAATTGGTGTTTTCCATGATGGTTTGCTGTTTCCCCTTTCTTTATCTTTTGTGACCCTACTCAAGGGTTTTGTTTTGTGGTTACCATGAGTCTTCCCCCCGCCCCCCAGTTTTATTGAGAAATAATTAACATACATCACTATATAAGTTTAAGGGGTACATCATGATGGTTTGGTTTACATATATTGTGAAATGATCATCATAATAGGTTTAGTTAACATCCTTTATCTCATAGAGATACAATAAAAAGAAAAAAAAGTCTCCTTGTGATGAGAGCTCTTAGCAACTTTCTTATAACTGGAAGTTTGTACATTTTGACTATCTTTTTCCAATTTCCCCTCCACTATGAGTGTTATATAAGACATCTCATAGGTAAAACAATCTAGTTCAACCTGATAGCAACTTAATTTTGATTGTCTACAAAACTTCACTCTTTTACTTCATCTTTTTTATATCTTGAGGTCATTAGTTAACTCTTTTTATATTGTGTATTTATTAACAAATTATAGTAGCTAAATTATATTTAATGCTTTTTCCTTTGACCTTTGTAGTATAGTTAAGTGGTTAACAAACCATGCTATTAGAGTTTTCTAAGTTTGACTGTATATTTACCTGTACCAGTGTCTTATATATTTTCATATGTCTTCATGTCATTAATTAACATCTTTTTATTTCACCTTGTATAACTCCTTTCAGCATTTCTTGCAAGGCAGGTCTAGTGGTGATGAATTCCCTCAGCTTTTGTTTGTCTAGGAAAGCTGTAAGATTTTTATGTTCTGTATACAAGTTCTACTTAGGATATCAGTATTGCAAATATCTTCTCCAAGTCGTTAACTTGTCTTTTCACTCTCTTACTGATACATTTTGATGAACCGCCATTGTTAATTTCAATGAAGTCTAACTTATCAATGTTTAAAAATGGTTTTGCTGTTCAGGTGATGTTTAAGTAACCTTTTGCCTATTCCAAAGTTACAACTACATGCTGTGCTTTCTTCTAGAAGTTTTATTGTTATACTTTTCACTTTAAACCTACAATCCAGTTTGAATTTGTTTTTTGTGTATGTTGTGAGGTAGAGGTAATGTGTAGAAAAATTTAACTAAGTAGAGAACCCAGAATTAGTGTTAAGTGCTAATGGAAATTCAGCATATTATGAAAGAGGCATCTCAAATTAGTTGAGAAAAATGTTAACTTTAAAATAAATATTTCTGGTACCCTGAGATAACCATAATTCAAAAAGATACATGTACCACAATGTTCATTGCAGCACTATTTACAATAGCCAGGACATGGAAGCAACCTAAGTGCCCATCAACAGATGAGTGGATAAACAAGATGTGGCACATATATAGAATGGAATATTACTCAGCCATAAAAAGGAATGAAATTGAGTTATTTGTAGTAAGGTGGAAGGACCTAGAGTCAGTGATACAGAATGAAGTAAGTCAGAAAGAGAAAAACAAATACCGTATGCTAACGCATATATATATGTATATATATATAATCTAGGAAAATGGTACTGATGAACCTAGTGGTAGGGCAGGAATAAAGATGTAGATGTAGAGAACAGACTTGAGGACACAGTGGGGGAAGAGGAGGCTGGGATGTAGTGAGAGAGTAGCATGGACATATACACACTACCAAATGTAAAATAGATAGCTAGTGGGAAGCAGCCGCATAGCACAGGGAGATCAGCTCGGTGCTTTGTGATGACCTGGGTTGGGGGGGAGGCTCAAGAGAGAGAGGATATGGGGATATATGTATGCATATAGCTGATTCATGTTGTTCAGCAGAAACTAACAGAACATTGTAAAGCAATTTTACTCCAGTAAAGATATATTAAAAAATAAATAAAAGATAAATGTTGTTGGACTAATTGGCTAGTCATGTGGAAATAGATTAAATTGGATCAATTTCTTACAAGGGTAAATTCCAAATGGAGAATCAAAATGTTAATTTAAATCCATGAAAGTATTAGAAGGAAACATGGATGAATTATTATCTAACCTGGAGCATAAAAAGTGGCTGAATTCCATTAGTTATCAGTAAAGTGTAAGATAACTTTTACGATGAGTAGACTAGTTAAAATTTAAATGACTGGTAGGACTTCCCTGGCGGTCCAGCAGTTAGGACTCTGAGCTTCCACTGCAGGGGGTGAGGGTTCGATCCCTGGTCAGGGAACTAAGATCCCACATGCTGCGAGGTGCAGCCAAAAAGTAAAAAAACAAAACAATAAATGACTGATAATAATTGGTGATGGGAGTTATGTAGAGTAACTGGAATTCTCATACAGTACTGGTAGGACTATATATTGGTACCACCACTTTGGTAAACTATTTGGCTTTCTTTTAAAGTTATGCATATGCCTACCCTATGACTCATACATGTTACTTTTAATTACCTACCAAAGAGAAATGAGTGTGTATGTCCATCAAAACTCTTATATGAAAATGTTCATAGCAGCTTTATTCACAATAGCCCAAAGCTGGAAACAACTCAATGTCCATCAATAAGAGAATTGATCTAATAAATTGTAGTGTACGTATACAATGGGGAAAAAAAGAATAAACTTTTGATATAAGTGAAACATGCATGAATCTTAAAAATATTATGGTGAGTGATAGAAACCAGACTCAAGATAGTACTTTCTGTATAATTTCTTTTATAATAAGTTCAAGAACAGGCTGGGACTTCCCTGGTGGCACAGTGGTTAAGAATCCGCCTGCCAATGCAGGGGACATGGGTTCTAACCCTGGTCCAGGAAGATCGCACATGCCGTGGGGCAACTAAGCTCGTGTGCCACAACTACTGAGCCTGCGCTCTAGAGTCTGTGAGCCACAACTACTGAAGCCGTGCTCCTAGAGCCCATGCTCTGCAACAAGAGAAGCCACCGCAGTGAGAAACCCACGCACCGCAACAAAGAGTAGCCCCCACTCGCTGCAACTAGAGAAAAGCCCACGCGCAGCAATGAAGACCCAACGCAGCCAAAAAATAAGAACAGGTAAAATAAAATTAGTTCTATGGTGATAGAAGTTAGAATACTACTTTTGGGAGTGGATTGTTACCTGAAGAAACTTACTAAGGTGATAAAAATATTCTATGTTTTAAATGAGATGGTGGTTATATAGGTTTATACATTTTTCAAATCACATCAAACTGTATATTTAAAATATGTGCATTTTATTATATATGAATTATACTTCAATTAAGAGGATTATTATTCAACTCATAATGAATAACAGATCTGTTAACAATAATCAATAGGGCTAAAATCTGTTAGATGAAAGATTGAAGGGAAACTTTAGATGGTATAGATAAGTCTGAGAACAAGCAAATTTATGTGATCAATCCTGACATCGTTAAAACTAGGAAAACATGTGCTTTCAGATATTTCCAAGGGTTGGGCCAGATTACCCTTTCTAAACTTCCAGGCCTATTTCATACTTGATATAATAAAGTATTGATTTTGAATTTTGAAGTAAGATTAGCTATTCAGTTTTAGAATAATCCCATCAAAAAAATTTTTTTAGTTAATATATTTGAATAGTGGAGGGTCCCATAGTAAGAAATGTCCTTTTCATAATCTCTTTGAAAAAAACACATGGTATGTTGGCACTGGAGTGAACGTTCTATGTCTGGTAGGGAGTAGAGGTTACCATTCCCAGTACACTAAACAAAATAGGTAAAAAACCAGAAAAGTCACGCTAAACAGATGGACAAGAAAAATTCCATCAACTTTACTGGCTGTTCAATTAAACACAATAAAGTTTAATTGGCCAGCTAAAGGCAATAGAGATGAATAAGACAAGGCACATGTTCTAGCTGTGATTTATAACATACTAGGGCAAATTAGACAAACAGAGAAATGATTCATTTTTGTGAAAGAGTGTCAAAAAAAAAAAGTACCCATAAAGTGACTTGGGTATTCAGAAGAGGGAGAATTTTTATAGTCATTGTGTTCATTGCCGGGGAGGTCAGAGTAGAGGTGGGTGGCAAAAGAGGAAAGGAATTGAGAAGACTAGAAGAGGAATAGGAAGAAATGAGAGTTGTAATATATCTTGAATGTACATCTTGACAGGCCTAGAAGTGGCTATGTGTGAACTGTGAATGTCACAGAGGCAGGAAATTCTTTATTTGCTGTTTCTTACGTTGTATATGGAGACACCATGTAAATGCTAAGAAAATCATGACTGAGTGTGAGATGGACACTGTCCACGGGGGAAAATAACTTTTTGCCAATAGAGGAAAACCTTGAGTGTCCACCATCTGTTTTGTTGCTATTTCTGCCTAATTATAGCCATAATAAGAATTTCTAGTCCACCTCCACTATCTAAGATAATCACAAGGATCTAGAATGGTCTTGTTTTAAAGTTTTCTACTGGGCCTCTTGGGGGAGGCCTCTTGAAGTACAGAAATGCCAGACCCTGTAATGGGAGAAATCTGTTGTTCAGAATAATTATCCTCCGACTGAGGTAGGAACCAAGCTTGAGGCACCAGGAAGGATAACACTGAATTACAGAGAGAGCTGGGATCCTTCCAGGACAGACAGGGCAGAAGAGCAAGGGCGGGCAGACTGTGAAGGCAGAGAAACATCAATAACATTTTAAAGGGACAACTTTGGAGAAAAAATATTTTAGATTTTTGAAGTTACAATAATTGTCGTTGCAGCATGTATGAACATAAGTTCATCGTTGAGATCGTATGTCAATTCTCTGCAGAATCTCTGACACACCATATATGATAACTGGAGGGTGTTATCTGTAATAAGAAGAAATCATAGAAAATAAGCCAGTGATCTAAGTTCTTTAAAGACAAGTCAAACCTGGCACTAGTCCTGTCAGTAAAAATTTATTTAGGCATCCGAGGTAGGTCTGGGGTTGGCTTCCCATCTTGTACTTCCCAAGGGGACTCGGGCAGGGAGATGAAGAAATCACAGGTCCCCTGCAGGGGTTATTTGCCTAAGTTCCCTGGCAACCCTCAACTCTTTGTACAGATGCTTCTTCCTCGTGTCTCATTTCCCCAGGTCCTCTTCTGTCTGCATGCACAGGGACCCATGCCCAGGGGTATACGGCACTTTGGTTCCTCTCTTGAGTTGGCCTTAGTCTGAGATAGGAAATTGGTGGAGTACTCTCCTAAGAATTTTCTAGGAATCTCACAGCACCTCCTCTAACTTACCCTGGAAGATCTTTAAGATCATGCATGTCTCATGCTTCTTCTCAGCAGCACAGACACCGAAGCCCCTTCTACAGCGATCTGTCTGTGTGCGAAGGTGGCATGTTATGCATCTCAGGGGCGTCACTGCTGGAGAGCACAGAGCTGGTGTGAGGCCTGGGGAGGCAGGGACTTAGAAGAAGCTAGACCTATCCAGGCCTGGGGTGCAGGGTGTGGTACGCGGGTGGGTGAAGAGCTGGTGGCTGGGGTCCGGGAGTAAGCAGCTGGATCTCTCACCAACTCCACATCCCGGAGAAATGCCTCTGTGAGAGTTAAAGGTTTCTGGTCCCGACTTCAGCCCTTTTAACCTGGTGACTTTGAGCAAAGATTTAGCCTCTGGCTAAATGGCTTTCCGGCTTAAAAATGGTTCTGTTAATGCTGGCCTGGCTTACCTGGCAGCACTGTAGATAGACAAGAGTGATAATGAGGCTGAGAGCTTTAAACTTTTACCTGTGCTAGCATTACTACGATGGGATTTCTGAGATTGGCGGCTTACGTATTGTTAGGTGATATACTCTGTTTTTAACTTGGAACTGAATCTACGTGAAGGCCTCATGAATTATATCATAGTGCCACTTTTTGTGGTGCTGTGGGGTGAGCTGGTCAAAATACAGGTTTAATTAAAAAAGAAAAACACCTCTCCTGGGTGCACCTAAGTGAGAAAGTAACATTTATCGAGCATCTCATATGGGCCATGTTCTCTTACTTTGTATCTGATTTAATCCTCACAAAGGCCTTGTAAGTAGGGTTTTCCCCATTTCTCAGGTGAGCAACCAGAGGTACAGAGAATTTAAGACAGTAATTGAAACATTTTTTAATCTGTCTGATTCCAGTGCATCCAGTATTTTCTTTCCTGCAATCACTTGTTGTAATATAAAAATCCCTGATAAGGGCATCAAAAGCCCTTGATAGCACAAAAGCCAGCTACAAAATTATTCATTGTAGGCTCAGCAGATGGGATAGAGATTTATAAATGGAAAGGATGTCCTGAGGAAAATCTCACTAGGAGTTTTGATTATGGGGAATGGTAGGGACAGAGTGGGGAGCACTATGATGGGGCAGCCACAGCGGCTTGAGCCCTTGGTGGGGAATGGCAGAATGTTGAAAAGGGCAGACAAGTTGGCATGGAGGCCCAGGAAGCATTCTGAAGGCTGTCTTCCCCTCCCGTATAAACGTGGTCAAGACTCAGCCCCGCATGGACGCCAACTACACATATGGAGTTCCATGGGGCTTCCCAGATCCTGTCTCTGGAGCCCACTCAAGTCTGTGACTCACCCGCAATGCAGCAGAAGACGGATGAGAGCAACAAGAAGTGTTTGTCCATCCTGACAGAGAAGTCTGTTATACAGGAAGAAAAGAAGCCAGGGTATGCAAGCACAGGTCTTTAGGCCACAAGAAGAAACCTTCCTCTTCATCATAGGGCAGGGATTATTCATGCCTAAGGGGAACCAATCACACAAGGTTTCCTCTGGGAGCTCAAGTTCATGCTCTCTCCACCCCATAGCAGAGAATGATAATTAATAAATGTTGGCGCTTACATGAAGTTAACTTTGTTTTTTATATACTGTTCATCATAGTAATTATTATTAATGCAGTTATGATATTATCATTCTTTGTTTTTCTTTTGTTTTTCTTCTTTGATATTATTCTTATCCCAGTTTCACAGAGGAGGAAACAGGCTTGGTGAGATCCAGCATCTTACCCAAGATCACATATCTAGTGACTTATAGCACCAGTACTCAGAGCAAGACTTTCTAGTTCCAGAAGCCATACTTTTAACCATCTTGATTGAATGCCTCTTGGAGATTTATTCATACATTCAACTAATATTTATTGAGAGCTTTTATGGACCAGGCACAATTTCATGTGTAAGAGCAGAGCAACGAATAAGTCAAAAAAAAGCTCACCTAGCTCCACACTTCATGGATGAGAAAACGAAGAGTGAAAGAGATGAAAAGGTGTATAATCTATGAGCAAGCTGGGCCTTCCACCTAGAATTTCTGATTCTCAGCCCAGAACTCTTTCACTTTACTAGAAATCTGTTCTCCAAGGCCAGGGACTGTTTACTTTGTAGGGCTGTGAAATCATCTCTAGAATTATCACATGGCTTGATCTTTAGGAAATTTATATTGTGAATCTGGCCAGTTTTGCCCATGCTTTAGGTATCTGTCTCTACAAAAGTTAACTCAGGTAAGGTTCACCATGGGTAAACCACTGGAAAATTATGACCAGTTCTGGCACTGTCAGTCTCTGAAACCCATCAGTGAGCTTATGGTACTTTGGCTAGAGGCAATAGGAATCTTCTCTCATGAGTTCATTTTAACGACATGTTCTTTAGTTGTAGGAACAATATGTTCATCAAAATATCTCAAGTATGACATTTTTAGATATCAGATAAAGACTGGGTGAAATAAAGTCTTAGCTCAAATGCCACAAAATTTATAGTGTTCCTTTTCTATGACCAGAGTGTGGAGCCCATCTCTGCCTAAGAAGAGAGGCCTTAAACATGGGGGGATTTGTTCCTTTGAAAAGAATTGATTCTAGAATGGCAATCAAGATTGTGAAGTCTTTGAATCTCATTTTCTGTTCTTCCATCTTTCAGGAGAAGATGTTGGAAACTAGATAGCATTTTTCAGGACTTTCCAAAGGCTTATCAAGAAGGCATACTTCTGAGCCTTTATTTGTCACCTGTTTTCTCTTCTCTCTCTTTAAAGCGAGTGAGTCTAGAATCATAGCAAAGGAAGAAAAAATTCTAGGTTAAACCACAGTTTGCCCAGTTTCTATTCTTCTTCCTTCAAGGTGCCCCTTGGCAGATATTTTCTGGAAGGCCCATTGAGTTCTGAATCTCTTTTCTACGGGATTATTTTCAGTTAGGATTGTAGAATTTTGCAACTCCACCCAAGCAAGAGGTTCTCTGATCTACGTCTCATCCTACCACAGTATCTCATCCATCAGATTTTCTCTTGTAAACAATGTCTCGTGGTATGTGTGAGGCTTCTGAAGTAGAATGTGTATTTGTGGATGTGAATCTAGAACTCCAAGTAGAGGTCTGAGGTAGAGATATAAAACTGAGCATCGTCAGCTCATGGATGACCTCACGCTTGAGCTATGAGAATGGGACCCAGTTCTCACCCAGTCTCAGTGAATCAGAGCTCAGCTAGTTCCCAGCTGCTAACCCACCCAAAGCAAATTAAACAGTTTGTTCTAAAGCTGACTATGTCTTCAAAGTTCATTCTAGAAGACAATGTAATTAATCTTTCCATCTTTTCCAATACCCAAAGCCAAATGTAAGCCTTGCTGCAACTTAACACCTGACAGGATGCTCCCAACATCATCCTCACAGCCAGGCTCTTGGCCCTTGGATGCCAAAATCACAGTTACAGCCTCCACCTCATTGCCTCTCGCAGTCAGGTGCCCTTTCCTGCGTGTGGCTCCTTTTGACTTCAGTTTCTGACACCTACCCTAGCAAAAGGGCCCAGGCTTCTCCTGAAATTTTAAGCACTGCACAGGGAGTTAGTGTTTGATAGTTTCCAGGACCTTAACAAATATGAGCTTTCTCTCTTCACAGACCTTAAAATGCTACTAATACCAATCCTATGATGAAAATTATTCTGAACGTCAGTAACTCACCCAGAGTCACAACGTTGGCAAGCAGCAGAGCCAGGATCTGAACCCATGTGTGTACCAAGCTTAAGTTTGGGATAAAGGGAGATGTCCTTTCTAGAATTCAGTATTGGTACAGAGGAGTGGGTACTTTAATGTCTTTTCCAGCCCTGGGAAAAATGACTCTTTTCATTGATGTCTTGCAATTGCACAATAGTGAGCAAGAGATCCCATTTTATGTGCTTGGGACAAAGTAATCTCAGCAACAAGTGCAGTGCACTGTCCCCTTGAGCCCCTCTCTTTACCCATATGCCATCACCTCCAACAAGGTGCATCTCTCTGAGTTTCTTGCTCACCCATGTCTCTAGAACCACATGACCAGCTCTCATCCCAGTGTGTCAGGTTGCCTGACATCTCTGTATTTTGACATTTGCTGTTCCTTTGGGCGCCCGTCCCTATTCACGTCTTCTAACTAACACATCACTAGCCTTCAAAGTCTGGCTCAACTATCCCTTTTTCAGGGAAGCCTTCCCTGGTCAGGCAGTCAACTTTGAATGTCTCTCATTTAGGCCCCCATAGCCAACTGTGCTTGATGTACTTGTGGTCTCCTTAACTAGACTCAAGTCTTTGTGAGGCCACAGATTAGTGGCCTGGTTCACTTGGTGACTTCTCTTTTTATGATGTTGGCATTTGGTATGTGTGTAGAAAATATTTACTTTTAAAAATCCATGAATTAGTTAATAACACCTGAAGGCAAACTAGGCACATCTCACCTTTCTGCTGAAACGTCCCTTTCCTACACCACAGAAGGGACACTCAGTGTTTCTTCCACATTCAGACTATACCTGGAGTCCTGAACTTAATTCCTGGTGCTTCAGTCTAAGTGAGACAAAGACAAATCTGAGATTATTCTGAGATTAGTGAAGAGAGCTAAAAGGAACTAAGGTGTCCAAATCCTGTCTTGAAATATCTGAAAGGTTAAAATGTGGGGAAAAAATTTGACTTGCAGAGCACAAAGCTTAGCTATACAATAATGAATAAAGAATGTATATATATATGTGTATATGTGTATGTGTGTGTATATATATATATATATATATTCATCATTGAGGAGAATTTTTAAATAGATGCCTTAGGGACATTGAGACTCCAGTTGGTGGTTTGCTTGGTTCTGGGAACATTGAGGTACTGTTCGTCACTGAAATTTTATGATTATATGATTTAGCTGAATAGCCCAAGGACAAAACACTGGGGGAGATCAACCAGTACCTTCCACAGGCAACTGCACATGACCAAAGTCCCAGGATGTTTGTTCTCTTTCTGCTGTGCATAGTCTTTCTGGTCTGCATGAGTAAGGATAAGTCCTGGAGACAGAGGAAGGGTTGGTTGTTGATTAAGAGATGGGAAGATGCTGGGGGAGGAGAAATTTCCAGAATTGGCTCTTGGGGCTTTGGCCGATGCATGTGCGATTATGACAGGGAAACTTCTTCTTTTCACAGGTGAATTTTGTGAACATCTGATAGATATGACCACAGCTAGTCTAAAGTCCTTGGTAAAAAGGTTATTGGTGACATTTTTGGAGTAAACCTTCCCCTCCATCTTTTAAGAAAGCTGTTATCCATTCCTACTATAGAATCCTAGGAGTCTGATCTTCTCCCAGACCAATTTAGTCCATTTCATGGAGTAAGGAAGCTAAAGTCCCCGTCTTTGCTTCCTCTTCCCCATTACTGGACAAAATCATTAGACTAGATAAGGGGTTCATTACTTGGGGACCATAGATAAATTTTACAGGAACTCCAACCTTTTGAGATTATATACAATATTTGATTTATGTCTGTATAAGTTAGCTTTCACAAGATTATCAAAGGGATCAGGGTCCCTAGAAAAGTTGGGAACCACTAGTCAATAGTAAGTTCCTGTTGGGAAGCCCCCAGACCTGGAGAACCTTCTCCATACTACATCCTTTAAGCACCTCTTTCTGTGTCTGGCAGAGCCTTCGACGATGTGTTATAAATGTAAAAAATATCATCTTGGGATATGCTATGAAGGCATGAGGTCCTGCACCCTGAAGTACCACCAGACCTGTGTTGTTGAAAACATTTACTTACTTACCAGAAAAGGTAGTGTTGGGTATAAAGTGACTGAGAAACAACCACCTTTTCCCCTTAGAGACAGTTACCTGCTTTTGTCCATGGAATACATGGGTGAGTAGGATGGGTGAGGATGGGGTGGTCCTGCAGAGGGTAGGGCAAAGATGGACTTTTCCTTAAGACAGCTTTGAGGAAAGGAAAGGTGAGTGTTCCTTATAAGTTAGGAAATAAAATCCACTCTCTGGGTCAGTAATTGATAGACTCTGTCTTTTAGCTTATTTGGGTCTAGAGAAAGATCATTGAGTCTCTGAAAAGAGGTTATTCCTAGGAATATGGTAGGAGAAAACAGAGTCATTACAGTTATATTCCCTTTCTTTCACCTCCTCAGGGCGGAGTATGTATTTTTATTCAAAACTGTCGTGTATGACCAACTGTGAGGACATCAACTTCTTAAGTTTTGAAAAGAGGACAGAGCTCATCTGTTGCAAACATAAAAACTATTGCAACCTCCCTGAGGGAGTCTAGTTCTGCATGTCTCCTGGATTTTTGATTATTCTTCAACTCACCATCCCCCTTATCTTTTCCCCCAAACCTGTATTTTGCTCTCCACTTCTAACCAATTGTAGAGAGT